GGGGGGGGGGGGGGGGGGGGGGGGGGGGGGGGTAAATTTGTGTAAGAAGTGCACTCCGAATTTTCAGCTGGACAGTTGAAAAAGGAAACGTATCTTATTTATCCACATGAGATACTTTTCTTTATAAATCTGTTCATACAGTACCTGGAATTTTGACAGTTCAAGCTTCTAATTCACTGTACTGTACAGTATACGAAATAAAATTGATTTTTGCATTTCATCTGTTTTTGTTTTATACGGTTTTTATACTTTAAATATTGTATTATAACTAATAGATTAATTTCAAATAATAGATTCAATCCAAAATGTACAATTTTATAGATTATAGATATAGGTGGGCTCTTTTGACAACGAAATTCGAAGGAACACAAACAAATTCGTCTTCAAGAGAATTCTGTTGCGGAGAACCCCTATAACAGGGGAAGAGAACCCTGTGGGCACAAAAACAATTCCTTCTACAGAGAACATCTTTGTAGACAAGCTTGTTGCTGAGAGTCCATCTGTGCTATATTTCTAAAAACTTTGACCAATGTAACTTGACTCAAGCACACCAAAATTTTGATGCGCCAAAACGCAATGAATTTTCAACTACTGTAACCAAAATTTGTCTTCTGGAATATATTCATTCCCGTAATTGTTTAATTTTGAAGTACTGCACCATCAAAACCATGCTAAGTAAAATTTAAAGGGACCAGCAAAAAAAATCGACTCAGGGATGTTCTTGAGTTTAGGAAACGAGCATTTTGGTTGCCAGAAACATAGAAGAATTGCAGGAAATTGGAAATGGTGATATTCTGGGACTTAAATTGATTCTTAAATGAGTTGACAGGAGGCTGAACTGAGAGGCGGGCATTCATTTGCTAAATTCATCCTTCACTTCCTTCCAAAACACATCAAGTTGCTTTTTTATTCATTTCTTTCTTTCTTGTGTCAAGAAATTAATAGCCAAAAGGCCTCCAGAAAATTTGAGTTATGGAGGTTTTCAAGGAAAAGGCTTCAAGTTTGAGAGGTTTTCAATGCACTGTTTCTAATAGGATCCAGACCATGGCTTGAAAAAAGTCGACTTTCAGCGCAGTTGGAGTTATCAAGGTTCAATGAAGTGAATACTGTACTTACTCAAGTACCGCGCTCATCTTTTTTTCAAATTTCAGAAGAAAAAAGGGTGCATGCCATAAGCAGGTACACATTTTTTTCAAGAAGTTTTAAGAAGTTATGTGTGCATTATGCTTTATTATAATGGAGAAATTTGAGATAAATGTAAGGAGAAAACTTTTTTACTGAAGAAGTTGAAAATTGATCAGATTTATGTTCAATTCATGTCTGAAGTCAAATTTTTTGTTTTTATTTTTGAAATTTTGTGGTTTTGGAGTCGCTAAAAATTAGGGTGCATGTCTTACTTGGGGATACGATTTTAGTAAAATTTGCAACTGAAAAACTCTTGTGCGTGCCTTACTCAAGGGCGTGTGGTACTTGAGTAAATATGGTAAGATGACCCTCGAATGTAGGAAACAAAGCCACATCAAAAGGTCCCAGAATTAAATTTGTCCGCATCGTCTCCGTTCGAAAAAGTAGCTCAATCGCGGAAACCTACCGTAAATCACTCGACCCTTCTGAAATACGGAATCCATGAGAAGAATAAAAAAAAATAAAAGAAGTCAAACCTAAAAGAGTCGAAAGCTTTCCGGGCCGAAGAAGGGATGACGCATTTCGGGGAGCTGGACTGGGTCGGCCAAAAGCCCGTCGTGAGCACGCGGACGGTCAAATCGACGCCGTGAGTGTTCGTACATCCGAGTTGCTGCTTGAACTCGTCCATGATCGTATTCGACACCGTCATGTCCTTGAACATGCCTTCCAGCTTCGACGTGAACTGGCAGCCGCACTCCGTCTACGGAAATCCAGGCGAAACAATTTATTCCAAAAAAAGAAAAAAAAGAAACTATCACTTCAAACCGACAGCTTGTTTTGGTTAATGTTGGATGACGAGACGAAAAAAAAAAACTACTATTCCGTATTTATACGAATTTCAAGACGCAATTTTCCGGAAAAGTTACGAATAAGTCTTATATTTCACATGTGAAATGCATGATTACTTACGATCACCACAATCTTTCAAATGAAAATACGACTAAAACGTAAATTAGCAGATCTAAAGGACCATTTTCAATTCACTCACAATTCAGAATCCTGAATGGCACTGGAACTACAGCACTTTAAAAATTCAGTCGAAAACGGAATCAATCGAGAAACCTCTTTCATTCGAAAGAATTCGAATGCGATTCCATCTAAATCCACGAGCGGAATTTCAAACATTATCAAGACTTAGAATTTCAGAGGTGCGTCTCACAATCGACGAAGTCTCATATTCGAGTAAATACCACTTTTTATTTGAAGATGAATTTTTAAAACTTCGCGGGATTTCAGATAGATGGCTCTTGGATACAACTTCTTCAATTAGTCGCATCACTCGTAACCAGAAAATGAACAAGCTGACAAAAAAAGGTGCTGCATTGGGATTGAACCAAAACGTCCAAAAACATTTCCCTGGCTTCTTGGTTGAAACCAGTGGATGAGCAGGGACTGAAATATCATTTCTCGAAGTAGAAGAAATTCATCTTGGTAATATTCAGAGACCACGTAGAACTTCATCAGCTCTGTCACTATCGTGATACATCAAGTGACAAACACAAAGAATCAAGAAGCTTATGAAGATATAAATCGGAATTTAAACTCAATCGAGTCCTCTAGCGACATCTACCCACAATAAATAAAGTCATCATCGTAATAGACGCGGTATGACAATTAGAAGTACAGTACAGTATTTCTCAAAGCCAAGTTAATATCCGATCACCCGAGTACCAGCCTATGAAATGTAACAGTAGCACAATTCAAGGCAATACGCATAATGCAAATGATGTCAAAATCAAATCAAGTTGGACGGTACATTCTGCAAAAATGTACGGTACTGTACACGACAACGAGTTTCACTGTACAGTACAATAAATGTATTTTCGGTCCCATAGTAAAACTTGCTGAAAAACTATTCACCCGTAGGGAGAGTCCGCCTGTACTATATTAGATCTTCACTGTTCGGGTTTTTCGTTAAAAAAAAAAAAGCGAGATCCAGATAAATTAACATACTTCCGGAGAATTTTATCGATATTTCGTAGGACTGACTAGAGGATGTCATCAAGCGTTGTAAAATTGTGACTCGAGAATTCTATCAATCTTTTGGGAGATTATGATGATCATCATAATTCAAGAGACTCGTCATTCAAAGTGAAAGAAATTATCGTCAACGCAGATGCAAGGATGAACAAGGAATTCGGACGAACCTTCAATTTTGAGATCATATTTTTCTCCGCATCGTCAGACACGGATTTGTTGAGTAGAAGCCGCTTGGCTAAATGCTGCTTGTAGTATCTTTCAAAAACGTCCTTCTCTTGAAGGAACCGGAACAAAACCATACTCTTGTCCAACACTTGCTCAATCTCCGATTCAGTCATTCCTTTCACGCCCTTCTTCAACTTGTCGTCGATGAATAACGACAAATACTCGGGGGACTTCGGGTTCAAATTCAAGAAAAACTCGAAGTCCGCGCTGATCATTTGCTTGAAAAGCTTGTCATTCCCGAAAGCGTGCATCAGGAAATGGTTGAAACGGTCCTTCAAGTCTAGTAAACTCTGCAAAAATAATTCGATTAGCACACCAACCACCCGACGAGCGTCGTCTCGAATTATACCTGAATAAATCCGATGGGATTTTTCCCTTCCTCTTCCTTCGCCACAAGGGCTTTCCCTTGTTCTCGCAGATATCCTGATAAACAGTCAACCATCGTCTTCAAACCTTCATCCACACGAACGAAAAGCTTGTACATGCACGCCAAATCCGCGGTTTTGTCATGTTGAAGCATGTGCACGACTCCCGAGTTTTCCATCTGTCAACAGGAAAAAAAAAAAAAGATCCCGTGAATTCAAAGAAAAACACGTCAGCGAATTGGTAATTATCAGATTAAAATGAAATACAAAATGGTGCACATTTTCAGACCAAAATGAGCTTTCGGAATTCAATTTCCGCAATGCTACAACACATCACTCGAATACTGCATGATAGGGTATCGAAAACCCTTCATTGCAGCCACGAGTTCGTTAAAAGTAGCAAAAATGAAGCGACGCACTTCGAAGATGGACAAAGAGATCACGATACCTCTACAATAGTCTTCATGTGCTTCTTGATCAGTTCGTCCTCCACAACACGAACAATCTGCACTTCCGTCGATTCGTCCAAATAATGCTTCGCTCGTTCAGCTTCTTCAAGTATGCGTCCTTCCACTTTACGGATGTACACTGAAGCGCTGTTCTCCGCGAGAAACTTTTGACTCTCCAACTAGATTAAGAAAGTGCATCTGTATTTATGAAGCCAGTCGACTGCAAGAGTATCACGAAACCCCAAGGGTTTCTTCAGGTACAGAAACACACTTCGCGGTCGCCTCGTATTATCAATCACAATATCGAATCGGATGGAAGAATAGCTTGCCTGATAAAATTCGGCAGACTGCTGAAGGAAAGGTCGTTCGAAGTCTTCTTCATAAACTTCCCGGCTTCCAATCCCCAAAAGCATGAGCATACTACAAGCGTTCTTGATGGCGATGCGATCCACGACTTCGCCCTTTCGCTCGCGCATCACCAGATCGAGCAAGGTTTCGCGAAGATGGTCACGTATGCAACCGTAGCGAACGACTTGATCACGGAAAATTTGAAGGCCGAGGTTGAATACGTTTTGCACGTTGTTTTGAGCAACGTAAACGCGATCCATGTACATCAGAATATCGCGGATCATGACCATGGAAGTTTGGTGGTCCTGCCACGCGGAGTTTAGCATTTGCAGGAAATTGTTGTGCAGGGACTCCAGAACGTCACGTCGCACCTGCCGCAAGACCAAAATATCTTTAAAACACTTCCGGTATCACGACAGGCTTTTGCACTTCAAAAATGTTCGGACTTACGAACGGTAAAATGACCGATAATTAAGAGAATAAGCGACGCGAGGCAAAGGCCACGCCCTCATCGTGGGAGGCCATTTCGGAAAAACAGCTACGAATTCCGCAAAAACAGTGAAAAAATGCGGAAATAAAAACTACGGCAATACAGTACACAATAAAAACAGCGATTGCTTCCGGTCAGAAATTATCACCAACAAATTTTGCACTCAGAAGATTATGTGGCTTCGAAATAGCGGTCAATAGGCTGATAACTACACACACACACTATTTCCTTTCATGTACGAAACCGAAATCCAAACCAACGAAAAAAAAGCAAGAAGTAACGAATAAACTAAATTAAGATTATGCACAACGTGATTTTCTCCCTTTCCTTCGTCAACTGAACATCTCTGTTTCTAACACAGTATATATACGGTACCTTCTTTTCTAGGTGCCCAGTGACGACTTCCTTCAGCCCATTGTACAGCTTTTCCCCATGCTTGTGAAGAACCATCGTATACGCATTGCGATAGAGTTCTTCAAACGAAAGCCCGGAGTTATTCTTCCGCTGAATTTCTTGAATAGCATCACGAAGCAGCGCCCAAATTCCTTCGACGTAACGCTCATCCATAGTCATCTACATGGTCAAGTCAAGCTAGCTTAGTTTTCTGATAATGAGGAAGTCATTAAATTCACTCACCGGAAAGGCTCGGATACGCATCTTAGCGTCTTTTTTCCCGGCCACTGATTTCATAATTCTGGATCCTTCGCTTACAATTCACAGCATCGATCGGCCGAAGCTATAAGCGCGGAGCTTCGAGTTACTCGAGGAAGGGTTTCCAAACGACACACGATTTCAGAACCCTTACGCCAACAGTTTTGATGGAACTCATCAACGTAAGGCGGTATTATGGAAGAGTAATAACCGCGTAATAAGTAATTTTAATTTACCTGAAATGAAACGAGACACTTTTTCAGGGTTTATGTGAAAGAATTCCACCATTCCTCCACATAGTCCCCGAGACAAATCTCAAAATAAAATGGTCTCACCGAAATACTGTTCCTCATTCAAGTCGTAAAATACTTCGGAAATATTTTCTTAACCTAACTCAAAGAATGCACGCAACACTTGATGCGAACTCAACTGCAGTGCAAATCGAACATTCCGCTCACGGAAAACAGATGTTGGGCAGATGTACCATAAAGACTCCAGTTAACGTCACATGGCGGCCAGATCCGTCAACACAAGTTAATGAAGACAAAATAACTCCAACCATTAAGATCTCCTGAACAACGCCAGATATAAAACGGTCACACCTAGAAGAATTGGGTCTCTTTCAAAGAAGTGGGCTTGATGCAATCCTTCTGATTGAAAATAGATGTCAGTCCTCCCAACAGCAAGCCATCAACTCGTATTAGTTTCCATTATTTGAACTCTTCACTTAAACCAGCAGGTGTATACTTGAAATACTGTACCCAAAAAGGTTCTTCTTTTAACCACCCAAAAACAATACTGTACTTACTTATTGTTGAAAGCTTGATATATGACAGCAATAACATCCAATATAATCGCTATACAGTATATGCTGCTTTGTGATGTATGCTGCATCACAACTTTCAGCTGACATTTGAAGGGCTCCCCATGCACACATGTATGCTCAGAATGGTCCACAAACATCCTGGCTATACAGTATAAATTCTGATGGTCTGCCCCCGCAATGAAGGGTATTTCATACAGCATACAGCCCAATAAGACACTTTCAATTTTTACGTAAATATTTACAAACACTATGTACTGTTATGTGCACCTCATAGTATACCATGCATTACATATGCTGTACACACATAAGATTAATTTGGATAGAGAAGATGAATTTCACACCCCAGAGTTATATACTGTACAGTACTTTGGACTTATAATTATTTATGGAAATGTTGAAGTTGATTGCACATTTTCCCCAACAAACAAATCAAGTAATACTGCATATAAAATACTATTTTGTACATAATAACTGCTGTATACTGGATGAATTCAATAGTGCTGGCTGATTTCGAGTACAGTATACAGTATAGTACGGTATATCAAATATGATTTGACTACAGTATACGCAATTGCTGTGCGCCTTGTACCTGATGGTGGACATTGATTCTGGATGAGAAGCTGGGCGATTCCGCAGCTGAACCAGCATTGATGATAAAACCGCACTAATAATCAACATCAGTAGCAATTGATAAAATAGAGCAGTAAATGATCATTACTGTATTTACATACTACACTTATTGATTCTACAGCTGTTCTTTGAATTCGTCAATATTAAACTCCTAATTTTGGCACCAGCATTTACCGCGCGTTACATTAGAAGTATGCGCTGCATGTTTTTCAGATTTAGAAGTATCCTACGTAAATTCTGTTGAAAATCAAAAAGAGTGCGAAGAAAAAACAAAAACATATCGTGTTATCAACTATAATGAGGAAAAAATGAATTCAACGCATTTTAGCATATACACTGTACATCACATCAGCTGATGCCTATAGTACAAATAATTGCCCCTATTTTGGCCTTGTATCAATAATAAGATCTACTATACTGTATATATTATACAGTATATCAGTATAGGACACATGCACAGAAGTTATTATAATATATATATATATATACAGTATATACTGTATATAGCAATCAAGATGCTGGCACTACTTGATCATGCACTTGCATTCCTCAATTGTTGTGGTTCAAATATTGTTTGCTGCAGTTTAGGCAACAGCTGAGGTGAAGTACAGTACTGATGCCTGCAGATGCAGTAATTTGATGATGCATCAAGACCATGTGCCCCAAATTCAAAATGTCTGTAATTTGAGTCTTGTTTTCCCTCAGTAGAGGCTCAGAATTACATCATGTAATTTTTAATTTTGGGTGTTCTATGCCAGAAATATTTATCAGAATTCCACAAAAACTGCCAAGTAAAACATACTGATTCAATCACTATCTGTAAACTTAATATAAGGACATTTGGAGCATTGAATAATACTGTACCTCTGGACAGTACATTGAAATTTTGGTGTTCTTGCTATACATAGAAGTAACATTTAAGGCATACAGAAGTTCCCTTACACTGGCAGTAAATTTTCAAAATAGCTGAATGGATGGTAAAATGATGAGAGAAATGCCAAAGAACTTTTCTTACATAAGAGCTTAGGGTTGGAATTACATGTTTCTTGGAACTTGGCCTGCAACTTATCCAAAATTTTAGCATGCAATGTCCACATATCAAGTCAGTGTCTGTATGTTGGACCTTCTTTGAACCTTTTCTTTTCATTGAAAAACAACTGTTGTCTGTTGAATTGTCTGCATGTCAAGGTTCCCATCACATGCAGGGGTCTCATAAGAGCATACATACACAGTATTTAAATACATATATACACATGGCTGTGACTGCTGGAGGTAAAAAAAAAAAAAAAACAGAACCATATTATACAGTATCTCGTTCATTTTGAATTAAAGTCAAATAAAATGATACCAACTCATTATTTTACAATTTATATGGCACAATATGCTATCATTGTTGCAATGCTGTTCCAAGTGATAAATAAGAACACACATATATCTCAAGCATCAATTTAATGAACAACAATCCAAAATGCTCTCAATAAATTCTCAGAGATGCAAATAAGGATCTCAACAGTTGATGTGGCCAGTCAAAGTATCAGATGAAGTCATCATGAGTACATTTTCCTGTACATCTGGCCATCAGACAGGTTGAGGGATTTGCTCTAGACCAAATGAGAGGCAGCAGCTGAAGCATCTTGACTGTTGTCCTTGCTGAAGAAGTTGTTGATTGGTGGTTTATATTGGTGGAGTTGTTATTGGCTGTGGGATCATATCTTCCCACATGATTGACTTTTCATCCAATGTGAGAGACTGAAAATGAACTCAAATGAAAAGCAGTATTTATACACAGTAACCATTTCACTGCTGCATGCTGATGGATCTATTGTATACTACATTGAGAAATAATTGTTGTACAAATTACAGGTGAACCTTGCTAAGTCAAACCTCTTGTTAATAAGTCAAATACCTCCCTAATTGAAAATTTTTTGGAGTCCCTATCTGGATTCTCTTAAAAAGACTGCTTTGAAAACCTCCCCAACTCAAAGTATTTTTTTCTCAAACCTCTCTAAATCAAATTTTCTGAGGCCTTTTGGTTATAATTTCCTTGAAATATGAAAGAGAAAATCAATACACCAATGATTTTATGCATCTTGAATTGACGTGAAAGACTAATTTAACAAATTAACCCCTGTCTCAAAGTTCAGCAAGCTGTAAACTCATTACAAAATGACTTTAGGCCCAGAATATCCTCATCTACAATTTTCCACAATTTTTAACTTCTCCGCACAGAAAAAAATGCTTTTTCCCTTACTCAAAACAACCCTAAATCTTATTTTTTTCCCTGGTGCCTACAAGTTTGACTTAGAGAAGTTCAACTGCACATACATAAGAGCTGGCAATATAGTTTTAATTGTGTATTTTTAAACAGCTCTGATATTGAGCTCTAACAGAAATGCATTTAGAATCACCATGGCATGTGTATAGCTGCAATTTTTTCTGGATAATTACTGGACAGCCCAAAATCAGTTTCACTCATCAAATACAAAATGGCCTGTAGCAAACACATGTTTACATCATCAGTATTGGTCACTTCTATTATAATACACTCCAATTTACTGATCATCACAAACAAAAGTCATCAAAAAACACAAAGTCATCACAATCAGAATGGAACATTCACTGCTGCACATGAAAATGCAGTGTATTGAGCACACAACCACCTGACTACTGTGATTCCTGATGAGTGGAACAGATTTGGAGCAATCCAGTCATTCAGAAAAAAGGATTAATCCCAGGGGTCTCAGCAGGAATCTGGTCTGCATGCAATGGGAGCAGGGTAACATCTCCCACTGCTCAATTGTTTCATCACTTATTCTCAGTCAATAAAATATCCCTCTTCATGAATATTTTGGAAATCTGTGCAGCCTTTTGATGAAGGCAGCATGAAGTTTTCTGTTTAAATTACTAGTCCTAAACTGCTATTCCTGAACAGCTCTGGAGATAAGCAGCTTAGTGCAATATTGAGGAGATGCCAAAAACTGTTCTTTGAAAATGAGTTTTCATTTGAAGGGCTCTTCCAATCATGCCATTGCATTTGGAACCAAAAAACATATTCCATTTGAAAGGGAATTGAACAAGCTTTCATTTGGTGTTCTTTCATTGCCACAGCTTGATTTGCTGCTAAAAGCCATTGTAAGTATTGAAAAAATAGGTATGCCTGAAATGAGCTAGTTAAATTAGATTTTTATAACAAGGTGCCTATTGAGAAATAGATGAGTAAAACTTTGTTACAATGAAAAAATTCTTATGAGATTTCTTGTATCAGATTTCTGCTGTATAAGGAATAATAATTTCAAGAACATCAGCATCAAGCTACTAATAGAATGTATTGCTAATCTCCCAGGAAATAATCAGGCATAAAAACAGGCATTTAATTACCCAAATTCAGATGGAGTAAAGAAAAAAGAATGTAAGCACAAAGAAGGCAAAATAAAGAAGTAAATAGCAGCAATGGAATGGGGAATTTTTTATTCTTTTTTACTGCTGTCAGACATTGGGGCAATGCCACTGGCATCATATTGGAAATGGCGTTTTGACAAAAGCAATTGAATGAGAGGCAATCTATTCCATTTTTATTATAGACCTTGCTGTAGGATGGTATAACCTGGCTTGTTGGCAATCCACTGCACATGCGTTAGCCAACATCAGGCAAAACTTGAGGGGACCAGCAATGGTGTTCAATGGTGACCAACTTGACATTGCCACAACATTCTTGCCTCAATGCCTTGCCAATGTGAGCTGCAACGTCCCTATTTTTTGTAGGGGAAAACTATGCATAATTGGGTTTTTGGAAATTCTACCATTTCTACTTCAACTCCTTACAAATTTTTTCAAATTGACTCTCCTGAAATGTGTGCATACTGTGTAAAAAGATTCCCTTTTTAAATTTATAAAAAAATAGTACTGACATATAGTGACATGCATGCTTCACCAGTTTTATAACTTTATCCATTGTAACTTTTTCTATGAAAGCAAATTCAAATTTCAAAAAATACCTTTAGATGTGCACTGAAATTCTGTTACTTTTTTATTTTCTAAGTTGAAGAAGTACTGATTTTCCACTGAGATCAAAAGAAAAAATGTCAACTTTTTTTAGGAACCATCCATCAGCTTTTGGGGCAGCAAATGAGGTGGAGCAAAGGGTCCAAATGGCAAAGGGGGAGGGAAATGGTATGGTGTTTTGGGGGGAGGTGGTGCAGCAGTTTGGGGGAGGTGGCACAGCCTTTTGAGGAGAACAACATGGAGCTTCACCAGTACAGAAAAAACCCAAAGCCTGTACCTCAGAACAGGTGACTGTCACCCATGTGATATGGGTTGAATGGTGGACAGACTTCTTGCTAGAGCTAATATGTTAGCCCCCCCCCTATGTCCCTGAACGTGTCACTCTCTCCATGAAGCCAACTTGTAAAAAGTGGGTGAATTATCAGCTGGGCTAATGGTAAACAATGCCCAAAAGTTTGTTCATCATTGATATTTGGCATGTAATTATTAGTTTCAACTGTATAGTCAAACCAAACCAGCAATTCACTATGGTTTGATGCAATTAGTCAATGACAAATGACCCACAGTGCATGATTCTTAATCCCTGGCCTATCCCCACCTGTCCATTGGACTGGGACTCAGATGTGGGGGGGCATATCAAAGGACATCACCACAACTCTAAGGAGTTAGCAACTAGTTGGTGAGTAGTTGCCCAATATGCCATGCTCATTTCCTGGGGATAGAATAAGCATGATCTATACCAGTGTTCCCCAACCAGTGGTCTGCAGAATGGCACCAGTCTGCAGAAGTTCTTGCTGGTCTGCAGGGAATTTTCAGCATAATACAGTACATGTATCCAAAGTAGGGATGCATTCCTGTTATCTCTACCTACAATTCTGGAAGGACAATGGCAGTTGAAATTACCTCATGAAAATAAAAGTTGGTGTTTCTCTCAACACCTCAGATAAATTTGCACCTGCTAAAATAAATACAGGTAATTTAAAATTTTTCATTCTGAGGAACCTTTCTTCAAGCCCACGTCCTTTCTAATTTTTCAAAAGCATTCCACTATATGCTTGCTTCGTCATTGGTGCTTCTTCTGCTTAACTCAATTTTTGCAAAAATCAGTAACTTTTGTAGTCTTTCAAGCAACACTTTTGGGAGTCTGCAAAATTTTATGAAACTTTGCTGGTCCACAGAATTTTTTTGTGGGAATTTGCCAGTCTGCAAAAAATTTTTACAGAAATTTTGCTGGTCTGCATATCTAAAAAGGGTGAACACTGATCCATACCACTCAAGCAAATAATTCCTAACTAGCTGGCAAAATTCATGAAAGGCAGCCTACAGTTTCTTAGAATTATGAAATCCTATCCAGTCAATATATGTACTTTACACTTATGTTTGACTTATGTATCTACATAACATATGTTTCTCTGTACTATCTCCTTTGGGTCAGCTATTTCATGTAGTGTAGATTTGTGATAATATTCTAGAAATCAACAAGCACCTCAAACATCTCAATCAAAATTTCAATATTTTGAAAGAACCTATCAGCTCAAGTAACATCCTACCTCATGCAGACTTGAGAAAAATGGTACTGTATACAGTAAAATACAGTTGACCCCCTGAACAACAGACCTCCCACACAATGGATTTTTGCACAACAGACTACATCTGGAGGCAGCATTCCCTCCTGCGCAATGGACTAAATCTGCAGAAGAGACTTCTGTTGGTTTGAAATTAATGCTAAAAAGTAAAAATTTCAATTTTTCAATAAACTAATTCACACAACAGACTTTTAAAAAGCAGACTAGCCAATTACACAAATCAAGTCTGTTTTGTGGGGGTTGACTGTATCATTTCTGACAGATGAGAAACACAGCTTCTGAAGATAATTCCATTTATTTCATCAAGCCCAGTAGTATGAAAAATAATCATTTGTTCATACATGGACAATGGAAATACAGTACAGTATTAAGAAACAAACTTGAACAAAAATCAGAGAATATGATGAATTACTCAGACAGGCAAAAGCAGGCATACCATTGAAATACAACACTTCAACACAAGCACTTCATAAGAAATTTTCCATATTCCCTTGATGATTTTGCACCACATGATGGGCAACTAAAAAAAAATTTAATTGAATACCTCACACATTGTTTAAGGTACATGTCAGTATTTTTTAGTAGAATTTTTGCAGAACATAACCTCCTGTAGGACACATACCATAAGTTCTAGTCAGCTAAAATCTCTCATATTTTAAAAATTGAACAGAGAAAAATCAAAATGTTGCCACAAATCACTGCAAAATGAAATTGCTTTTTCATACTTGATTCTGATGGGGAAATTTTGACCCATTTTAACAAAACTTTCTAAAATAAAACAATTACAGGTGGTACCTTGGACCTCCCACAATTAAACGGTCAAGTTTGCATGGAGGTTGACTTGCAATTTGACCCTTTCCCCACAATTTTACCAACTTTTTGGCATAAAAACACACCTGTAAGAACTTAAAGTGTTTCAAAGAACGTTAAAGTACCGAAACGTTAAACTGGGATCAAATCGTCGGTCAATTTCATTTTAACGTTCCATGGTGGACATGACATAAGTGACATGAGTAGTAATTCAATTTGAGTTCAAGTAAAAATTACAATTCTGAACTTACTTTCCAACCGGCTTTTAATCAAATTTTAGGCAAATGAATCCAAGCGCATAATGTGATCAAGATTGAGCAGTATTTGAGTTAACATGATATATATTGTAGAATCTTGTTAAAACAAATATAATTATAACAAATACAGGGGAACTCTCTCTACAACAAAACTCAAGGGGTCATAAAAAATTGATGTAGAGCAGTGTTCCCCAACCTGTGGTCCTTGGACCAGCCCAGATCTGCAGAAGTTTGTTGCTGGTCTGCAGAAAATTTTCCACTGAATAACAAAAGTGACAATAAACTCTTATTTGTATCTCAAATGTTGGAAAGAAAATGGCAGTTGAAATTATCTGATGAAGAGGTATAAGTTAGCTTTCATCCTAAACAAATACTTCAGACATATTGTCAACTACTGAAATAATCCATTTCATATTTTGTATTCCAAAAAAAACACTTCTTCAAGCCCACCTTCCTAAATTTTAAAGACATTCCACTGTATAGCTGCTTTATTGGTTCTCAATATTTGCAAAGAAGAGAAAACTTTTGAAATACCTGCCATGCCATAGTTTTTCAAGCAGAACTTTTGATTCTGAACATTTTATGAAACTTTGCTCAGCCACAGAACATTTTTTTTGGAAATTTGCTGGTCTGCAAAATTATTTTTGAAAATTCCTTGTCTGCTGACCCAAAAAGGTTGGGGAACACCATTGCAGAGAACCAAAACATTTTGTTATACGCAGTGAAAATTGTTGTAGACTTGTTTGTTTCAGAGAGAGTCCACCTGTAATTGCTCACAGCAAAGTCATTCTTAGTCACTGCTCAATAGCCACAATGTTAAATGAGCTAGTTTATTTAACTTTGCAATACAAAATTCTTTCACTGGTCCCAATGACTTTGTTGTAACAAGATTTTCTTGCATTCACCAACTTAACAGGCAATGCTTGGATTTCAAAGATTCTTTGATTCACAGTTATGTTCAACAGTTACACTAAAAGTAGTCATCCTTTTCCAAGTTTTCAGAACACAAAAGTTGATCAGCATGGAATTGAAGTAACCATTGCAACTTCTTGCTCCAATGTTTCTGAATTGTACAATTTGTAAGACAAGAAGATGTACATGTTTTGGGAAAATTGCAAAGTTCCAGTTTAAAACTTCATAAAATTTGAGCATTCTCAACCAAAAGATAGTCATGTAGAACAACTTTGTTCTTTGAGTCATATTTTCCCCATAAGAACTTATTTTATGCAGATATTTTTGTGTGTGGGTATTCTGTTATGCAGGGAATCAAGTAAAATTTATGTCATGCTACTCTAAGATTATGACACACACTCCTATTTCTTCTCACTTCCTGGAAAAAAGATGCACCTGGTACAGGGGTGAATTTTGCAAATGAAATGGGAAAGAGAAAACCTTCCCACTTCCACATATTAAGACTTGGAAACCTATCTCATAGGGAGAGTCCCATACTTGAGCCAGGGATAACCACTTAGTATCCAGGGATCATCCGGTTCCCCTGAATCAGAAACCTCAAAATTTTCTTTTTACAACTCAACAGTTGATCTTCAAATGGTCAGAAGCACATGCGCATCCATTGGGCACCGACACCCAACTAATGACGCAACACTCAAAAAAAAAAAATAGTGAAACGAGTTCGCTATCGTTTATAATCAATTATGAGATCTTTTTTCTGATCATCAGGTACGGCACCATTGTAAAATTTGTCAAAATCCACTGCCAACCGATGATACCGCTCCAAGTTCAAAAATTTTGGCAACTCCAAGTTCATGTTGACAAAATTTGCCCCAGGCAAGTCGCTGTACGTCTTCTCCCACTCTAATCCTTCTTGATGCGCAAAAGAAAATCTTTCATACAGATTTTTCATTTTTTGCATGTGGGGATGCGATTCCACTTGTTGCCTGAAAATGAACATCTTCACTCATTAGAAAACATTTCCCTACCCCAAAAATATGATTCACCCAACAAGAATGTGTGATTGTCAAATAGATTTAAAATTCTTGAGAGCTTGAGCTCTTAAATTTTTTTCCACCATACTGTGATACTACTGTAATGACAAATATATTTAATTCATTAAATATTAATATAATACAATAATATTTGATAATATTTAAATATTACATACATATTAGATATTACACACATAATATACATATATTACTATACACTGTACTATATTACTTTATTACTATACTACATTATTACTATACTACATTATTACTATACTATATTATTACTATACTATATTATTACTATACTGTATTATTACTATACTGTATTATTATTACTTACATATTTTACACATTTAATTCTGAAAATTCTCGATCCAAGTACAGTAATTCACGAGGGCGTTTTCAAATCCTTGAAAAAATTGAAGATTTCAATGCCTTATTAAACAAATTTTTTTTGGATGAATTTCTTTTCGAATATCTCTGGATTTTTTAGATCTGCAGATTTAAAATCGTTTCATTTGGTTTTCGAAAAGGTTTCACGCAAGATATCACTGAATACGCATCATATTTTTTTAGAAATGTTCCTAGTTTGAGAATGCCTCGTCTGCGTAAAAGCCTTTCTACGTTTCAACAATCTTAAAACATTTCATTGCACAATTCAATACACACACACATGAAAGTTCTTTCAAGTCCGGGTAAATAAATCATTTCCAAAAAAATTGTTGCTTTTGCATTATGTTAAGGGTTCCCAGCAAATTTTTTTTTTCTTCAAAAGTGCGCGAATATTTTTAGCACAGGGCATCATGAGAAATGCAAACTTCCCCCCGATGAATACTGACACTTCGCGACTAGATTCTTTCTCGTCGGCATTCTGCCAAATAAATGGCACTAACCTTTTTAAAGAGCACAGTAATTTTAAACGAAGGATTCCACAAATCAAAAATCAAATTCAGGAAGAAACGCCACAAATTCTGTTTCTTATACTAGGGCAATTAAACACATGATACGAACATTTAGAATTTGCACAGGACAAAAAAACAAGAGTTTAAAATTGATGAGAATGGTTTGGCTTTGGCTAGTTTCTTTGCCAAACTTCCACGACATGGTGAAATGAATGCGAAACTCGGGTCACCTTTTCATCACGCACTGTGCTGAAAAATAGTCTCACCACTTGTGAGAAGACGACGTTTTCCAACCTCACTTACACTGTGTATTTATTTTTTCTTTACAAATTGAACTGCGGTTCAACGCTAGGAATGAAAAAAAAAATACTAGAAATTTGTTCCCTGAGCGATGATGTCCCAAAATATACAATCATGTTGCAATTGGGGGGGGGGGGGGGGGGGGTTCTAAGCTCGGAAAATTTTTTTAGGGGGGGGGGGGGGGGGGGGGGGGGGGGGAGTGTTCTAAGCTCGGCAAATTTTTTTCTGTCGGCGATGCTGAATAAAAAAGCTACTCAAAAATGGCACGAAGTTGACTGAAATTGGAGAAAATCCCCAGCAAATGAATAAAAGTCAACTTTAAAAAATCCCACGGTGATTCGGACGATTCTGATTGAGAGCAAGTGTTGCCCAAAAGAGTCTATTCCAAGGGTTTTTCACCAAAATTTTTGGCACTTGAAAAAAAATAATTACCTCATCTTTGTTTGCAGATCCTCAAACTTCTTCTCATACTCCTTCTGAATCTTCGACTTTTTCAGGAAATTCGCAGCCGATCTCATTTTCTCCGCCTTCTCTGCAGTCAGAACATCTTTCGCTTCTTTCATCTCGAGAAACAACTTCCTTCGGATGACATTCGCTTCTCGGTCGAGCGGCGTCCAAAAGAACTCAAAATGCCACGTGGGTGCGACTTCCTTCAGCAACCTGGGTTTGGACCCAGTCGGGTTGTTGCAGTCCCCGTCCCGACATTTCCCCAGGGTCACGGCAATCCCCGGGGCGGCGGCCCGAGGCTTGAAAATCTGCTTCTTCGGACCCGAATATGCGGCCCGATTGTGTGGAGACACGAAGGATCGACAAATGTTGGCATTTGGGATTTCTCGGGCCTTCCACTTCTCTTTCACGTAATTGTATCTGTCAAAGAAATAAAAAACGGAAGTCAGTCAGAAAAATACTGTAAATGGGATGTAGTCCAACATGAGTTCGTCCAATACTGTACATTCCCAACTTTTCATAGAACGAATAAAAAAATTGAATCGGATAATGAAGCATACCTATCGATTTCATTCTCCAGTTTCTTCACATCGTCCCAATCTCGACTTTTGATATCCTGTTGTTCTTCCACATTCTTGGGTATGTAGTTTGGTAACCTCCTTGGTTGTGCAACAGCCTCCGGCATAACTTTAGATAAGAAGTTTTTGCGGAAATTATCCAGCCAGTCTTCCGGTTGGTCTTTCTGCAAAAAAAGAGAAAGGAATATTTTATTTTTGTTAAACAGGTGAACCTCCATAATTCAAACCTCCCAAGTCAAATACCCCCCTAAGTCGAATTTTTTTTCACATCTCCCCTGAATCTCCTTAGAAACAATGTATGAAAAACCTCCCTAAGTCAAAGGCTTTTCTCCTCAAGCCTCAGTAAGTCAAAATGTCTGTGACCTTGTGGCTATGATTTTCTTGACACAAGATTTAAAAAAGCAATACAATTAAAAATTGATGCGTCTGAAAAGGAAGTGAAAGGCTTTCTGGGCAAATGAACCCCTGCCTACAAGTTCAGCATCCTTTCAAATTAATCAAGAAGCAATTTAAGCCCCAGAATACCATCATTTACAATTTTGGGCTATTTTTCTATGTTTCCCAGAACAAAAGAGCTATGTGCTGTAGCTCAAACCTCTATAATTTCAAACCTCCCTCAGTCAAATTAATTTGCTGATCCCTTGAAATATGACTTAGAGAGGTTCAACTGTAAAAAAAAAAATAGCCCTGAAGACAATTCAATAATAGTTTCCAGTGTGGCCACAACATACAAATGGACAGGAAATTCAACTTCAACACAAGAGTTTGCCTCAATATCTGAACAATGTCTCAAGGAATTGATACTTCGCTAACTTTTCAAGAAAAATGGAAAATTTATACAGTGAGACCCCAAGATGCGGACATAATTGGGGCATCAAGCGTGTCCTGATGTTGGAATGTCCCCAAGTCCAGTCTCATATTCCCTCAGACTTCAGAGATCATGTATTTAATTGGTTCTCCTTTTTCCAAAATATTAGAAATAAGTCCACAAAAAATGTAATAAAAATTGTTTCCCTCAACTTCAAACTGTAGAAAACAACAGTGCAAAACAAAACCAAGTAGTATCTGATATTTTGGTATCAAAACGAGATCAAAAAGCAAAGAAAAAGAACACTCATTGCTAGAATATGCACACATGATAGAAAAATACTTTGAAAAAAAAAGAAACACAAAATCAGCTTGCTTTTAATTATGAATTAGAGCAAATTTATCATAAAATATTTTTTCAATTTTTGTGAATATAAATAGCTTGATTCATTCAAAAGATATCAAAATAAAATGTTTTGATTTTTCGGGAAAATTTCAGAGAAGTGTCCCTAACTCAAGCCAATGTCTGGATGTCAGACCTGATTTTTTTTTGTCTTCAAGCGTCCCTAAGTTGGATTGGCTGTATGTTTCGGTGTCCACATATTGGGGTCTCACTGTATATCTAAAAATGTTTAAAATGTGGCTTCTGCGCTGAAAAACTATTTTAGAAGATGAAATATTTTTAGTCCCAGGAAGATTTCAGGAGAGGCTCCAGGTACTTTCAATTTCAGCAAGACCAACGAACTTACAAATGATTCAAGATGAGAATTCATAGCACTTGCACAGGTTCGTGCAAGAAACGGGTCTTTTTCTATCATTCTGCCGGCCTGTTTCTGGAGGAGCTCCGCCAGTTTTCTCTTGGTTTGCTCGGAAAGTTCGTCTTTAGCGGGAACAGGAACTTCAATCTTCTTTTCCACCACAGCTGTTGAAGTTGAAGCTATAGGGACGACCACTTCGACTGCAGGCTTTGATTCGATTTCTTTCGCTTTCGGAATTTGCGGGAGAGAGGAAACCTTCTGCGAGACTGAACCGTATTTGGAGACCAAGGCTTCATCATCATCCGAATCTTCAGTCTCGTCGCCGTCTTTCTGCTTCTTTACACGATCCAGTTTGGGTATCTTGCTGGGTTTCGACTGGGATTTCTCAGATTTGGCTTCTTCGTCGCTGTCGGAATCGAGTCTTGGTCTTTTCACGCGGGTCACGTCGGATTTCGTAGATTCCTCGTCGCTCGAGTCGTCAAATGCTCGACGCTTCTTCAAGAGCTTGAGTTTACGTTCCATTCGCTCCTTGATCATGGCGACCTTCCTGGCACGTCGTTCTTCAGCGCGTTTCCGGAGGAACCGACGATATTTGGCGATCTTTTCCGGGGTTAATTTATCGATCATGACTCGGATTGCCTTCGTGCAACCGTAACGTTTGCGAAGATGCTTCTCGAGTTCTTCGGGCGAGGGTTTGACTTCTGGCACGGGTGACTGACGTTGGGTTTGACTAGGTTTGGGTTTGTCTTCGTCCGGCTTCTTTTCGGGACCGCTGATTTTGTCGAAGCTGAAGGTGAAGTCGTCCAAGGCGGGTTTCTCCTTGGATTTCTTCTCCTTTTCCGCTTTTTTCTCCTCCTTTCGTTTTTCCTTCTCCTCTTCGTTTTCATTCACATTTGCTTCTTCTTTCACCTTTTCTTGTTCTTTCTCCGTCTCCTTTTCTTTTTCCTTCAACTTCTCCTTTTCTTTCTCCTTCTCCTTTTCTTTCTCCTTCTCCTTTTCTTTTTCCTTCAACTTCTCCTTTTCTTTCTCCTTCTCCTTTTCTTTTTCCTTCTCCTCTTCTTTCTCCTCTTTTTCCTTCACCTTTTCTTGTTCTTTCTCCTTCACTTTTTCTTGCTTCTTCTCCGTTTCTTTTTCTTTCACCTTTTCTTTTTCCTTCTCCTTCTTCTTCTCTTTGTGCTTTTCTTTTTCTTTCTCTTTCTTTTTCTTCTTCTTTTTGTGTTTCTTCGACGATTTGGATGATGCAGGAGAAACGGGCGGTTTGGAATCCAAATCGATCAATGGTACAGAAGAACTTTCGGTGACGGAAGAAGTCATTGAAGGAGGTAAATCCGATTCATTTTGCAGCAAAAACTTGGATAAGACAACGACAACTGGCCGCAATTGAAGAGAAGAACTTTCTCGTCGGTCCGAGAGAATTTCTGAATCGGAAGCCTCTTCCATAGCGGTAATCGAACTGACTGAAAAGAAAAAAAAAAGATAAGCACGTCAAATGATTGAGAATGAAAATCAAAATCATCGAATACGACACGAGTTGGCAAAACTGAAAATTGATTCATACGTAAGCCGAAAGTAATGAAGTTGACATTGTTTGAGGGAGTAAAATGTGTGTCTAACTGAATGAGGGCTCAACAAAAACTTCGGAAGTACCTCATCAATAAGATGAGAATGAATTATTTCGCATGAGAAATAATTTAATTTTTTTAACGGTTTTTCAGATACGCACGAGAAATAATTTAATTTTTTTAAACGATAGAATTACTTGCAGCAGGAAAAAGATTTTTGTTCCACATAAGACCTGCACGTAAAAGAATAAACAATCACTGGAGGCAGATCAAACCCCATATTCTCCAACAATTATTGATCATTCAAGAAAAAAGAAAACTCATCTCCCGCATAAAAAAACAAGAAACACTTTCTCTTTACAGTATAGATAAAAAATTGCTCTGAAAGTTTGATGCGTCTAAAAAGCGATTCCCTTCTTGATTTGTACTCTACAAGATTTCGAGAGTTTTCAGAAACCGGCGATGAACAATTTCTCGAGAATTCGCAGAACATTGATGATGATTACTGTCAGGGGCTAATAAGCCTCTGTGACAAAGATTATTGTTTCTGCTCAATGTGATTAAGCAGAGAAATGATGTAGTCTCAATCGGCCATTTTTGCGGCCTGAGGTCAATACCGCAATAACGTCTGAGTATATGTTCTTCAAGTTCCAACAATATCCAAAGATGATTTTCAGCAGCACATAAAATATGCAGTCTGTTCTCTGGGGAGCTCAGAAGACAAGTGACAGTTTTTTCACACTGAAAGGAGCAGGTTCAGGTCCTCCTCTGGTGGAAAGTTTCCTCAAGGCTTGCTGCCAGTGTGTCCAATTGTTGTTTGGTCAGGCCCTGCTAATTCTCATGATTTTGTGTGATTCACATGAGTGGAATAAGTCTTGGAAGGTTCAGGTCCTCCTCTGGTGGAAAGTTTCCTCAAGGCTTTCTGCCAGTGTGTCCAATTGTTGTTTGGTCAGGCCCTGCTAATTCTCATGATTTTGTGTGATTCACATGAGTGGAATAAGTTTTGGAGATCATTATCTCCAAGGCTATCCCTGGTGTGGTCAGGTTTCCTGGGAATCTTGTTTTCCTATCTATAATAAAATATTTGTCAATACTTACTTCTTTCTGCAGGAATTTATTTTCTCCAAAATTACAAGGACTACGTGGTGTTTTGTACGCCACGTTGTTCTCTCGTATGTTCCATTGCTATGCCAACTCGGGTGACATCTAGTCATCCCAAATTAATTGGGCGTACGCGGGCGACATCTAGTCAACCCGTGACAAAACCCCCCTTGGTCTTTCCTGGCTTGCCGCTGGGTGGCGAGCTGGGCAAGACCAATTGACTGGTCGGCACGGGGAGAAAGATGGCGGTGCGCGTGCGCGGCTTCTCCAGAATTCTCTCAAAATTTTGAGGCATAGCTCAGATGTTGAATCAGAGGCGTTTTTTGGGCATGTGCTGAATCATTGGTCTGGAAGATGTGCGCATGTTCCAGAGGTGTTGAGATTGTTTGACATGATTCACCTGCGCCATTCCAAATGAATGGTGTCATGCTGAGAGGGACAAAGGTCCCTGTCAGTTGCAGCATGTACGCAGAAGCGTGTTGAGATTGTGAGTGACAGGATGTCACTGATTTCCTTGTTTGACATTTTTGGATGTTGTCTTTTGAGGGTGAAACAAGTTTTGATGTCAAATTTGACATTAAACCGTTTGTGAAAGTCATCAATTTGTCGCGGATATTTGTGGATGTCATCAGTTCATTGCAGATTTTGTGTGGTTGTCATTGGTATCTCACGGATTTTGAGTTCCGTGACAGATGCCAAAGTGACGTCTGTTCCACGGGCATTTTTGGCATCTCCCGTTTGATCAGGATGGGGGACGCTGAAATGCTCGGGAGGCAGGCGTTGCATTGTTGATTGGCAAGGTTTTGTTTTTGGAGCGTCATCCCCTGGCATTTGGAATGGGTTGAGGACAAAGTGTTGTTTGGACACAAAGAAGTTCCCTAGATTTCCTCTGCGCCGTAAGGACAACAGGCCAGTGACAATGGAGCAGCGGCTGGAGGCAGGTTCCATCTGTCAGGCGCTGCTGGACCATTTATTAAAACGGGAAGTAGGCCGCGTCCATGGCCATGATGAGAATATTCCAGGATGGTGGGCCATACCCACTCCACTCAGCTATTTAGCTGATCATGCAAAGATCTTGTATGTGGACAACTCCAACTTTGGGCATTTGTCCTTGCAGGCGTACATTTGGTTTGCCCAAGATCATGTACTTGGTATGATCTTTGCTGTCCTCATCACGTCTGGCTGTGGAGGAGTTGAGATCTTCATCTGCCCTGGAGAGGGCCTGGTGTGGCGGTCAGATGGGACAGCAACAGCAGGAAAATCTCCTGCCAAGGCCCATTACCACTATGGGCAAATGCGGCAGTATGAGTGCCTGAGGGAGGCGAGTGCCTGCGTCGAGTTCTGCGCCAGCAGGATTGTGCAGAATCCGTTTGACTGGTATTATCCTTGATATAATGGTGATGAATGTTCAAAGGTTAATGCTTGTTTTGTTTCCAATGTTGCAGTATTGACGCATATTTGGACGGCAACTCTGAAGAGATGTTTGCCCCCAAGCTAATGTGGTCTGCCAGGACAAAGGTGGCAGAGCTGGTCAAGAAGGGTGAAACGCCCTATGGATGTGTGGTGAGGGTGAAAGCCACTGGAGAGCAAATGGTTGTCACCTCTGGAAACGCCTTCAAAGTGTGGTTGGTTGGTGGTTGAGGTAGGGTGCAGGCAGCAGTTAGTGATGTTGTTGCCAAAATGCTGGACATTCCTCGGCCGCTGCAGAAATAAGTTGTGATTTTGCTGTTTGGCAGACGTCCTGATGTTTGTACATATTTGTGGATATTGATCCTGAGTTCTCAGTCCAAAGCAAAAGTTGCCATTTGTTGGACAGTATTGAGTTTGGTGATGGTTGAGATTGGCCTATTTTTTGTAATGGTTGGAACAGAATTGGTTGCTCAATTTTGATAAATCTTGATGGAACTATGTTATCTCCTTTTGAAATGACGGGTATTGATAATTTTTGATGTTGATGGTGTTTGAACTGTTTTTCCATTTTGTGATGGGATAAACAATGTGCCTTTGTTTGAACTCTTTGAATGTCATTTCTTGCTGGTTGAGTTTGTAGAGTTGTCCATAATCTCTTCCGTGTCTTCAATTTCCAGGGGTATGAGATTGGGAATGGATTGATTTGGTAGAATATGGGGGGTTGAAGTTCCATTGGCATTGTACCATTGGGACATCAATACGTTGACAGAACAAATTTTGCTATCCCGCGGGCTTTGGTGCACCTTTTGGATTTTGCGCATTTTCCATTTTAGACGTGCCATAGGCATGTAATTATGGAAAGAACTCTGTTTCAATAGAGCTATTTGGCCTTCCTTAGGCACCAAATACGTCTTAGTTTTCTGTTGATTGATTGGGAATTTCCGTAAAGTTGAGATGTAACCGTTGTAAAAGGATTTCCATAACGTTCTGACAATAGCAATGCGAAACTTTGCTAGCTTAGTCAGTCCCTCCTTGGTTGTATGTTCCACAAACTGGATAGGGTTTGGCCCATAGCAGTAAGGATCAAAATCCAGGTCCGCAGTATAATCTGCTTGCGGAGTGTTGAGGAGCATGGATGGGGTGATGGCAATTGGGTCATTCCTGTCTGTTGGTATGTAGGTTAGAGGCCTAGAGTTGATTACTCTGGCCACAAAGGTAACTGCAGATCAAACAGTATTCCTGTTGGTGGATGGTATTCCTCCAAATGAGCGGGCTAATCTGCTTTTGATGATGCCCATCATTCTTTTGTAGAATCCGCCCCACCATGGTGTGTGAGCGGCATTAAAATGCCACTTGACATGCTTGGTGGTAAATTCCTGTTGGATTTCTTTCTGGTTTGCTTTGAGAAATCTTGGCCATGCAGCCTGAAAGGTTGCTGCATTGTCAGAGACAATGTTCTGTGGTTTCACGTCCCTCAGATTGCAAAAGGTGTCATATGCTCCCATGAAGGATTCCAATGTGAGGTCTTCTACTTCCTCCAAATGGATGGCTCTTGTTAGAGGGCATGAGAACACACATATTGATATGCGTTTTTTGGTTGGGGTGTTGAATGGCCCCACAAAGTCAATGCCAATGGTTTTAAAGGCTTGAATGCCTGTATACCGATAAGTTGGTAGGGGTGCCGTAGTTGTTAAATACGGAAGGTTATTGAACCGTTTGCACCAATGGCATTGTCGGATGGTGTCTCTGATAAGTTGGCGTCCTCCTTGGAACCAATTTTTTTTCCAATTTCCTGTCGAGTGTAGGCTGTTGATGAATGTTTGTAAGTGATGTGTTGAGAGTGGATGAATGCCCTCAATAAGGGATATGGTTGTTTGTTCTTCGGAATTGGCAGATGGATGAGGGTCTTCTTGGCCTGTTCAGGCACAGAGGTGTCTCCTTGGACATCAAAGGCTTGTTGGCTAATTGAGACAATCATCTGTTGTGTTGAATCCCATTTTAGATCAGGTCAATTTGGGATATCTTTCCCTGATTTCAATATTTTCCACTTCTTGTTGTCGTAATATTGTTGCATAATGCAGATGCCTTCTTGATGGGCACATTCCAATTCCTCTGGTGCAAAAGGTTGGATTGTTGGTTTTGGGTTAATACCCTTTTTATGTTTGGATGGTTTAAGTTTTTGTGATGGTGTCCTGGCCATTGTTTGTATTTGATGAAGGCCTGCAATGATATGGGTAACCGTTCTCCATGTTCTTGCAGTTTTGAACAGGGAGTGGATGGTCTCTTTCCTGTGTATGAATTCCAATTTGGATGCGGATGGCCCCCCTGCAACAGCTGCTGTGACTGTTGTGATTGGTTGTGCGGGCCACTTGATTTGATGCGGGAGCCATGTTGGGCCATTCCACCATAGTTTGGAGGCCCAAAGAGTTTCAATGTAACACCCACCAAGACGCTAGGTCTGCTGGGTTGACTTTGCCTGGAAGGTGTTTCCAATCTGCTGGTACAGATACCTCCAGGATTTTCTGGACTCTTGTTGTGACGTATTTGGTTGGTTTTGATTCATGTTTGTTAATCCAATTGAGAGTCACGGTTGAGTTGGTCCAAAAATGAATTGTGTTGTCCAGGTTGGTTGCGTGTTTCAAAACTGCAGGCATACGTGCTGCGATGCACGCTGCAGAGAGTTCTAGGCAATTGATTTGAGTTGACTCCGATTGCTTTTTTGGCTTTTCCCTTTGTTTCTTAGGAACCAGTTTAGACTTTGCCCAAATGAGCGTTGTCATAGGTTTAGGTTGATGTGTTGTGAAGTAAATAACTGCTCCAAGGGCTTGCTTGCTTGCATCCAAAAAGATGTGGATATCCCCTGGTTCATGGGGAGTAGATGTTGCAAGGCGTGACATGCAAAGATCAACACAAGCCAATGCTTGGTGTGCAATGTCTTTCCATTCTTGGTAATCTTTTACATTTAGTTTGGTATCCCAAGAAACATTAGGGTGCGCATCATGAAAGTTTTGTTGAAGAATTTTGATTGATGTTGTACATGGGGTAAGCATCCCCAAGATATCAAAAAGGCATGCCTCAAACCCAGTGATGTGTCTCAGGGTGAGGTATTTCCAAACCAAGAAGGATTGCAATGATAGGGGAGATGTTAGGATAAGATCATTTGTCGGGTCATAATTGACCCCCAAGACCTTGTATGTCGAAGGAGATACTCCTTCCTCCTGTTGGAGTGGTGCAACTCTGATTTTTGTGAGTGCAAAAGCTCCTGTTGCTAGCGCTTTTGTTGTGTTTGCCATTTTGGTTTGTACCTCCTGCACTGTTTCCCCAAATATGATAAAGTCATTGAGGTAGGTATTGTTTGTCAATTCTTCTTGTTTGGATGCTGGTAATATTTGCTTCTTGACCGCTTGTAGGTAGAGGTAATGCACTGCTGCATTCAAAATGAATGGTGCGCAGTTAATTCCCCATGGTACACGAAGAAAGCAGTCAAACTTGGGTGAGTATCTTCCATCAGGTTGATGCTCAGGCCACTGTATTAGAAGAACCCATTGGTCTTCGGGTGCTAACTGAACTTGGATGGAAGCTTTTTGTGTGTCCCAAATTCTGAAATATTTGCTGAATTGCCATTGCAGCAATATATTTGTGATTTCCGGTAGCAAGTTAGGTCCTTGGATGAAGAGTTGATTGCACAAGTAGCAGTTTGCATCACTGGCGTTTCCTGCCATAACAACTTGAAGAGGCGTTGACGCGCTTTCTGGGCGTGCCACGCCATGATGCGGTAATTCTGTATAGGCAATTCCATGATCATTCATTTCCTCCAGTGTTGTAGACACAATGACTCCATCCTTGATCCACTGCGAGAATAAATCTTTGTAGGCTTCTGCAAGCGGTCCACCTTTTTCCAAGAGGGGTATGACTTACTTGCTCTGAATTGCGGCCATGTTGGAATTTGGCTGGCAATGTTTTGGGTATAGATAGGATTTAAGGAGTGGAGCAACTACTCTTCCTTCTTGGCAGATTGTAATTTGCTGGAGATATTCTTTGTATTGGTCCATTTTGTAGGGGGTTTCTTTGTTGATATCCCCAAGAATATTAATTTGATCCTGCTTGAGGAAGTCAATGGTTAGGTTGGTGAGTTCCTCATCAAGGTATGCTGTTGGATGTCCAAGAACAACATTTGAGCATGGTCTTCCTGTCATGGGGGGATGAGGATTGTCCCAATTTCCACGAGCAATAAGCCCAAATTCTGATGGTACAATGCTGAAGGTGGAATGCAACCAATAAGGATCCTGGTTGTGTTGATATATTGTCACTAAATCCTTGCCCCCCAGCACAATGTCAAAGGTGATAGTAGTGCTTTTTAGGAGGCATGGATCAGC